AGAGACCGAAAAACCATTAGATACGTCCATATGCTGTATGCACATGGTATACTGTTAAGTTTGTTACCTACTACCACAAGATCCGACGGTGTTTTTCGATTTATGATTAATCAAACCCATGAATACACCGTACACAGTACATTTATGAATAATTGCTTTTTGAAATATCCATCTATCCATCTATCTACAATTTCATTAGAAATATCAATCAAGCATCAAACGATCATTATATCATTATCATTATCATTATCATTATCATTATCATTATTATCATTATTATTATCATTATTATCATTATTATCATTGTTGTTGTTATAAGTTTAATCGTAAAAAACATATACAATTATTTTAAAGATATATTAAATCAATATAACCGATTTTCGATTTTCATGACTCCTAAATTTATTTTGATAAAATAATAATTTGTTTTATAAAAATATATATTATAAACAAAAAATTTTTTTTTGATTTTTAATCGAAATTATTTAAAAAAAAATACATTTGTTTGAAAAAAAACAAAACAAATGCAAGGGTTGTATCTGATAAATATTTGAAATTAAATAAAACTTAATTTGCAAAATTAATTTCTAATCAAAATAAAATTTTGGATATATTGGTTTATTGTAAATACAAATATATGGTGTGGTTTATAATATTTATATATTTTATAAATTAAAATCAATTAATATATTAAGTTATTTTTTAATATAATATATGCTTATTATTTCTTTTTATAATAATCTTATAACATTATCTCATAAATTTAATTGAATTAATTAATTAAAGTAAATTTTTAAAATATTTTTTATATATTTATTATATAACCATATAATTTATTCGGAATTTATTAATATGTGCTTTTATAAAAAAATTCGTTAAATTAAAATAATTAAAAATTCAATTTCAAATTTCAAATATAATTTTTTCATCAAATATTTTAAAATTATTAATTCACTAAAATTATTGTTTTTTTTTTTTTATTAATTGCTCGATTTTTAAAATAAGCTTGTAAAAAATTGAAATTTTAAATTTGATATCTATGATTTTTAAAAAAAAAAAATTATTGATTAATTTTTACTATTAATATAAAAATTCTTTATATCAAAATTCTTGTTTTATTCTTAAAAATAAAAATTATAATGAATTAAATTAAACAAAATTTTATTTGAATTTAATTTGATTTAATTTTTAAATATAATATAATTTAATTTAAATCTGATTTGGATTTAATTTATTTTAATTATTTCAATTAAATTAAATTATATTTTTTAAAAAATTTTATCAATTAAAAAATTTTGATAAATCATTAAAATATTTGAAAATATTTATATTTATTTATTAAATTTATAATTAATTATTTTTTTTCTATATAATAGTATTGCTTTTTTCTTTGTTATTAATTTTAACTATTTATAAAATATATAAATCTGTTAATAAATTAATCATAATAATAATTATATAATATGTTTTTTCAAGTTTTGTCTTTTATAAACAATGTTATAATATTATATAATTTATTTTTTAATTAATAACAAACAAATAATTTTTATATAGAAATATAATTAATTAAAATATTTATTATTTTAATTTTAATTTTCTATTTAATAATATAAAATAATTTTTATTGAAATCTTTTTTATAATCATTAAATTATTTGTTATTAATAATATATCATGTATTTATATTTAAATAGGTTGCTATAATTACAATATATATTTTAAAAAATTATTATTATTATTATTTTTTACTTCAAATCAGACTGCACGTCTTGATGTTTATATGAGTCTTAATTAACAAAAATACAATAATACAATATAAGATAATATTATACTAAAACTAAACTATACGATCTTGCAGAACACTCATCAATAGCCAATAGCCTCTAAATGTGATTGTAAGAAAATAAAAAAGTTGCTCAATTTTGAAGATTACTCTTTATCTTCCTCAATTTCATAGCCAGCCTTTATTTCAAGACTATCATCCCTACGCAACTGCTGTAATCCTATGGAAATAAAAAAATTTTTATTTTTTATAAAAAGAAAAGAGGAAAGGAAAGTGTTAAAAGTAAAAAGTTTGTATTGGCAAATAAAAACTTCTTGAAATCAATCTCGAGTCTGATCATCTACAGCTAAATACCTATTCAATTTCCACTATTTTGTTGCTAACCAAGAATGTTTAAGGGCATTTTCAGGAGAGTAATTCTTGAAACTTTACACTCGAAGACTTCTAACCTTTGGAGAGGGTTGGTATATTATTTGGTGATTTCTCTTCCAGCTGGTTTTCTAAGGAATTACAACTTCATTTAACCAGTGGATAGTTTCAAGACTCCTTTCTTCAACCATTTTTGGGATAATCAATAACAAAAGAAGCTTATTACTGTACCTGGGATAAGATCTTCTTCAACCTTAAAAAGAAACAAAACCAATACAAGAGAGGAGGAGAGAGAGCTTCAAACTTTTTCTTTACAAAGCAGATGTCTCATCACCTTGCTCTTTCCATTAGAACTAATTGCATCATCAGATTTAGTGTTGTGCAAAATAGAACATATGAAAGTTACATGTAGATTAACCAGTCCTAAATTTGAGCCAATTATCATTCAAGAATTCCAGTGTAACCAGAAATTCAGGGTCAAACTGACATAGGCAAAATTCCTCTGAAAAATCATGAAAAAGTTTATATGCTTAAAAAAATAAGAGGAAGCTTGAGAAAGAGGAGAGAAGAGTTCCAAAAACTGTACCAGTCTTTTCTAGAGTCTTGAATCTCTGGAGGAAGAAAGGATGATGTTTTTTTTACAGGTTCTTTTTTCTAATAAAGTTTTCTTGCCTTTAACTTTATAGGAGATTTTTCTTATATTTACTTGCAGAAATACAAGAAGTTTATGTCAAAGAAAGAAAGAAACAAGTGGGGGAGACTATAGTCTCTTGGTGTGAATGTTGTTAATGAAAGTGTATAGACTTTATTACAAAGAAATATAAAAATTTCCTTGAAATATCTGTTTTTTGTGTTGGCAAAGGGATCAGCAGAAAGAGTTTTTACTTATTAATATTAATAAAATAATAATAGTATTATTATTATTATTATTATTATATATTTTTAAATTTAAATTTTTCAAATCATATTATATATATTAACATTATACATTATGATTTTATTGAAATAAATGTTTTTAAAATAAATTTTTATTTGATTACTTTTTTTTACTAAATTTCATAAATTTAATTTTTTCAAGAATTCCAATATATTATTGGATTTATGATATACAAAAGTTTATTTATTCTTTTTTAAAATATTAATCTTGATAAAAAAATTTTTTTCTAAAGATGAAAATATAAACAAAAATATTTTTTTATTAAATTTAATAATTAATAAATAAATATGCATATACTGTATATATTTGTGCTGTAACTTTATTATAATAAATAACTTGTTGCATTTGTAAAGTTACAAAAATATCACTTGTTTATCTAAGATAACAAGTTTAATGCTAGCCTACTATTAATTAGTTATAAGTTTGAATTAATGCCCTATAATTAACTTTATACTGTATAGAAATCATACAAGTTAAAACAAGTTAGTTATACTATATGAATTGCATTTATTGCAAATAATGCAAAATTTTATCAGGCGACTTTCGAAAGGTTAACACGAGATGACAAATTTTGATGGTATCTAAAAACGTCTCTTGCATCGAAATCTTCAAAAATGCGATTGAGTACAAACAAAAAAAATATCAATGTAAGCGCGTAATGTTATACACTCGAAATGGGTGCTGTAATGTGAAATTGTATTTTTTAAAAAAATTATATAAAATAAGGTAGCAATATTGTACCTGCGATCTCAAGATTTACTTAAAGACCTGCTAAAGTGTAGCTTTTTTTTTGTTTTTTTTTGAAAAGGAATAAAAAGCAATGAATATTAACTGTGAAATGATATCACCAGTAGATAAAACCCCGCCAAAAGTCCATAGTAAATGGAGAAATCGAAAAGTTCAAAAAATTTAGTCTAATTTATAATATAGTTCATTTCATATTCCGAGTATGGAAATAATGTTCGTTCTTGTCAAATAAATCATCACACTAAGTGAAATCCCAAAATATCACACCCATTAATTATACACTTAACTCTCTCACATAAGACAAGATCATATCCAAGATCGGAAATTCTAATTAATTTATTTAATGACCACTGTCGAATATCATCGACATCCTTTTCGTCGTTTGTTTCTTCAGCATAGCTGATGGCTCAGAAGTAATGCCACCGATGACGCTTTTCGGTCGAGCCTTTGGTAAAGTAGTAGATGATCGTCTTGTTGCTGATGATGATGGATTAAGCGTCGATGCCCTCGTCGGTATCTTAGCTGGCGAAGCCTTAACTTTATCAGTTTCTTCTGATTGTGCTTTGGTCTTTGATGAAGTTACTGGCACGCCCAATCGCCCATTAACCACATACGATTGTGATGATGATGGTTCTGGCGTGGTTGGCGTAGCGACAGATGAAACCGACGAAGACTCGCTTGAATTACTGGAAACACTATTACTACGTTGTGCACTTTTGGCGGATCTTCTAACTTTTTCGTCGGTTGATCCGCTTGTCTTTTGACCATTTTTGACGTTCACTTCGTCCGTATTTCTCACATAAAGTGATGACCGCCGCGAAGCTGAAGTGTTAGATGATGTTGAGTCCGTGGAACTCATCGCGTACATGCTATCGCGTTTCCTATTCGGTGTTGGTGAAGTTGAACGCACGGGCGAAACTGCACGAGATGAGGCAAGAGATCGAGCGGGCGACACGGCATTTCTCCGTGAGTAACTGGAAGGTGATACAGATCGACTGGGCGCAAGCTTTGGAACTTGACTATTCCTGCGAGAACGTATTCCATTGTTGGAGGGACCTGGTGATACCGGTCGACTTGGTGTGTGCCTTGGTACATTTAAACTATTACTCTTACGAGATGGAGTGTCACCGTTCACCGAAAACGTGGGTGAGACCGGCCGGCTAGCTGCAACTCTAGAACTCGATTTACTATCCTGCCGTTTAGGTGGTGATGTCGTGTTCTTATTGTTCTTGCCAGGTTTTTGATCCTTGGATCCCTTGGCGGCATCCTTTTCAAACCCAAAGAACATCTGGTTTACGATACGTTCAGAGATTTCACCTTGCTATTGAAACCAAAAAGTAATGGTTATAATATATTTTTCGAGTCCACTCACACAATTTATTGATTTTTCAATTGATCATACCAAGGTATCCAAGTATCGTTTACTCTCATGCATGAACGGTTTCCTCTCGGCTGAAATGATCAAAAAGTTTTCTTTTTTAGTAAAAAATTCACCGCGTTATGTGGCAATAGTAGTAATCATAACTCACAATCTTCATAAGCGATACAGGCGTTAATCAACTGATCTTCAATCTTCACTAGGTTTGGCCAACATGATTTTCGCCACTTCTCTTCTTCCAATAATCGGAAGGAACTTTGGAATAGACGCTTAGGATCGGATGCTTTTTTCTCAAAATCAATCATTTTCTAGATTGGTAAAGTCACAAAATATAAGTAAAGCTTAACACAGGGAGTCAAAGTTCACTGCGCATAACTACATCAGTTGATTACCTCGATCAATGCACGTCTCTCCAGCATCCATCTGTAAATCTTGGCACATTTGGCATAAAGTTCCTGTAAGCGAGCGACTTCTTGAGCCAACAATTCGTACACTTCTTCGGAAGATTCAACTGTAGGGTATTTGAAAGGTAATTATAAAAATTTTTAAGTATCAAGTCCAGTACCAAACCTGATTCCTTAATTTCTATATTTTCTTACGTTGTCTTAAATTTTCAAAGAACTCTTCACGTTCGTATTGAGGCACCAAACATTTATCCCATAGTTCACCCAACTGAACGGTGTACTGGAAGAAAATCAAAATGAATGAATGAGAAAAATTCATGAATTCTTCACACAAGTTGAATAAACACCATACCTCCTCAATAGCCTTTTGGATAATAGCACGCATGATTTCCCTTAGACGTTCGAACTCTAGGGTCAACTGAAAAAAAAAAGATAAGTGAATGATGAGAATAAGTAACGATTCATTAAACATAAACATAAAAAGAGAAAAGGCGAACCTGCTCTATGTATTCTTCATCAAGAGAATCTATCATTTCCAACCTTTCTTCTTCTGGTATACTTAACTCATTATAAAGGTTTAAGACACCCTTCTGTAACATATCAAGTCTGCCTTTACGAACCACGTAATCCTTCTCAAATACGTCTATTTTACTCTTGAGAATTTCTAATTGCTCTTTATTCAACCTTAATCCTTGCGGGAGTTCAACCTTATAATACACATAATCACGTGACCCAAGTTCTCTTATTTGTCGTTCTATCTCTGCCTCACCCTCATCGTCACCATCGACCTCGTCAGTGCTTGCATTCATCATTCTGGTTTTCAGAGTTTCTTGTAAAACCTCAAAAAGTTCTTTTGGATTATTTTTGTTAGCAAATAATTCAAACAGTGCCTCATCTATCTGATCTTGAGGGGTGTAATTGAGCATAGTCCAATAGTGGTGCAGTTGGATCGCAGACTCTTCAAATGATTCGCGCATTGGCGCCTAACAGAATAACAAAGAAAGAATCAATCCGATTAGCTCGTGTTTTTTTTTTGAATCAAAGTACGCGAGCAAGAAAGATAAACGCATACCACAATGCGAACCATTTCATCATATTTGTACCACACCTACATGTGAACATGTGATACTGTCAGAGTAATGTTTAGATTAGGATAATAAACGGCACGCGCATTTGACTACATACCGGTTGAACAACCGAATTGCCCAAATCAGTTTCAAAAACCTAAGTGATTCGAATTCGTCAGGTAATGACAGACGCATGAATAATGAAATCGCCAAAAAAACAACAAACTTATCGCAAAAATATTAAAATGATTCACCTCCTCTGATGGAACTTGGTATTCACTCTCCAATTCTTTAACGAAAGACGCAAGGTGAGTTATCCAGTTATTAACGTTAGTTCGCGTCGTATTGACTTCCTAAAAGGGAAAGGAAAAGAATAAAGCATTATCAGATATGCAATCGAAATCTAATGATCAATTAAAAACCTACAAAAGATTTGACTGACATACCTCTCTTAGCGAATCTCGAATGATCTTAAGTCTGTCACGCGTATTATCATTTAACTCGTAGCTTAAAGAAGCGGCATGTGGTATTATTGTGTCTACGTTTCGACCAAATAATTGACAATACTCTTCTATTTCAACCTACGCAGAACCCATCGATATTTTAGGATGAATTTTTAAATTGGCACATAAAAATATTTGGCTTCTTTATGTTATAAACATACCAATAGGTCTTCTATGTCGGCGGATAGTGTAGATTTCCAAAGAATTTGTTCTTGGATAAGTTTATCGAACTCGGTTAGAATTTTCTAAGGAAAAACGAAAGAGAAGGTCACGCGTTTGTCTCCAATGGTCGAAAACAAGAAAAAACAAAGGAAAATGTTCCTCGAAGCGCCTGTCCATACCTGTAGTTTACTTCGTGCCCACTCTGACTGATCTCCGTAATCTCTATCAACGCCTTCATTAGCACTTCGATATTCACTCCACAGTAGTCGGAGGTGTTCGGCTTTGAAGAAAAGTGCGTCCATTATTCCGAGAATACGAAAAAAAAGTCGTGAAGGGAAAAACCAAAGGAAAAATGGTGTTTGATAGTTTCGAGTTTAAGAAAATTGTGATGGTAACACTATGTTTTGGGGAACAATAATTACGTAAAGGAGTTGGAAAAAATAAAGATATTCCAAAGAATGCGACTTACATTAAAATAAATAAATAAAAAAAGAGAATAAGCCCCAAAATGGATTCAGTTGTTTCAAACCTTAAAAAAAAAAAATTTCCAAGAGTGAGTGATACAAGATTAACGAATAAGGAGATTGTTGGATAACGCTTTCCGTCCGTACCGAAAGTTTTTCAGATAAATATAAACCTGCAGCCGTCAAAAAAATAGAGATGATGGGTAACGACGGTAATAAGAAAACATTACAGTGAAAAAAAATTATATATATCGTACATTAAAGAGCGATCCTTTAAAAAAAGAAAAAAACGGGAATTTTTTATTTGATATAGTAAGGATTTCCTTTGTTTCTTCTTCTTGGATTTATTTACTTATTCCGGTCACCTATTTTTTTCCCATTATCTATTTTCTATGTTTGCTACTACAGCGCTATGCGTATCTAAGATATTTAGGAAGTTAACCGAGAAAACGGAACGATTCAGGTCCGGATTAAGATTCAAATTATCAACTATGTCAACTATGACTAGGCCTCTTTGAGTCTTTTATGTATATGATTCTTTTGTTTTTTGACGAACGACAGTATACGTCAAACGTGGTCCGCGGTTATCGAGTGTGACTATATTTCCTAGAAAAGCGAGTCCAAAGAATGGTCTACGAGAACTATCCTCGACAGAAAAACGAACTAACAAAGTTACGGGAAGTTGAAGAAATGACTACAGAATAATGGTCCTGTCCTTTTTAACGTCAAATTGTGTCGTATTAACCCGATAAGTGGAAGTTGATGTAGGTGTTGATGTTAGTTATTATTGCCTTGTCAGATATATAAGAATCTTTTTAGCATAAAAAGGAATGAAAATAGACGATATATCATATGGACAGAGCAAGAAAGTTATAAGCTACGCCACAAACAATAGGATTCCCGAAACGAATAGGTTTTATTAGAAAGGTAAATGTGGCACAGATCGTCGGACTTACTATTATTACCGTTAGTAGCAAACATTCATTCGTAGATGACATATAGGGGACAAGAATTGACAAACAATTCTTACTATGATTACTATAATCAAATCAGATCAAATAAATTTTACTTTAGCATCATACCACCAGAACTATGTTGAGTTGATAATGATCTTTTGTTTTTGATTGATGATATACACTGTATATGGCTTCATGATTTCACAAGTGTGTACTCCACTTCGCTAACGGCATTACTAAATGAAAAACTACAATTGGTGCAACCCCCTTTTGTTTTTTCTGATACATAAGAACTCGGTAACGACCCTCGTTGTTATTGCTCACCGATCACAAAATGACGGACGATTGGTCTACGTGCATGGCTTCTGGAGATTGGTGAACTGGGACGAATGCCTCTTGGAGATTGGTATAAATTTACTGTACTGTCCATATTGATTTTATTCTATTGAAATATAATACATATCACATGCGTAATACTGTATATTCATTTACATGATAATTGTTACTATAACATTCCTTAAAAGTCAATATTAATATTATGCATGATCTCCAACAACAAATTCTCCAATCGTAAGTTTACCATAATACGTGCTGCCATGTAAAACATGTGGCGCGGAAAACACCCGCATTGACACATTCTCCTATGCGGCACCAGGGAAGTGCCCATTAGTGGACTCGATGGTCTGGGACAAATCCTTTTTTGATAGATAATACTTCCGAATGTGTCGTCCCTAACATCCATTGAACAATCCTATACGAATATATGGATTACCTATATTCTTTTATATCGTTATATCCGCACTAGTAGCATGCGTGAACCTACACGCATCTCACACATTCTGCATTGTGTGCTTTCCTTGCGTCTTCGTTAGGTAAATGTTTTGTTACCCTTAAAAAATTAAGAGTTTCGCTGTGCGTAAGTACGTCACCGCTACTTCTATGATATCTCCTATTTATAGCATTATCTTTATTTATATAATAATCCCATAAAAAATCAACGCACAGGTATTATTTATTGGTTTCTATAATAAAATACGATGTTGACGTACCACTAACCACAACATATCTTCGAAATTTTTAACGGACCACAAAAAAATTTCCATTACGTACGGTTTCACATATTCGAACTCGTTTATATAATGCAATAATGCACCTTCGTTCGAATCTCGAATAAACCGTATTCATATGTACATTTTAAATCCTCAACTTCACACACGAGTGATCACCCCCGGGGTGTGGGAAAAATTTGAATAGCATTTATACACCTTCCTTCCGTTTCACTCTATAATGAACTGACGACGAACTGGTCTCACTCCTTGCCGGCATCGGTATCAATCATATGCCTTTGAATCGAATGAAATCATTATGATTGACATATGAGCACTTTTTATCAAATTGGCTTTTCGAACGTGAGTATAGAATAAAAGACGTGAATTAGGTTAGTCGTCTGACAGACTCGTAAAAAACTTGTAAGAGCGAGTTTGGCCAGAACCATTTGTTAATGCCGGTCAACAACATCACGTGACACCGTAAAAAACTCCGAGAGTAAAAAAACCTGCATTCATATGAGACCATCACGCTATCATGCGACTTCTTCGAGCATGTCGTGTGTGAAATTTTACATGTAATGTTACATTCAGATGCTTCCATTATCTTCCGATCTTAATTATTCACAGGTTACCTATTCCTTTTTGCAAATAGCTTCTCTCTTTTCGATTATTTATTGTACTGGCGCTAGCACATTAACTGATAAGCTTAAATCAAAAAAGGTAAATTAAATTAGCATGTTTGATTACACGGAAGGGTTTTATCAAAGGATTTCGCAACCATGCTTATCACAATACCGACATTTTTATTACATGTTTGATATTGTTGTCGCATGTCCGAATATTGTCATTGAATAAACAATGGGTTTCGATTAAAAAAAATATATAATTATTATATGTACGTAAATGATGTATTATTTAAAACTGATTATTAATTTTTTTATTACATCGTATTATATCATATTATGCTAACGAATGAATAATCAAATTTTAAAATATGACATATACCGCACTGACATTTTATTAAAAATTAATTAAAAGTGAAATTATACATGTTATGGTCATTGAATTTTTTTTGTACCTTTGATTGATTTTTTAAAAAATAATTTTAAAAGAAGTTCTATGCTGCATATATTAAATTTGTTTTTGATGATAATTTAAAATTAAATAATATATGGGTAATTATTTTCGAAGGTGGACCGGAAATTTTCTGGTGTGATCCTAAATTTATATTATATAAGTATTGTTTAAAAGCTGGGTCTGAAAAAATCATACCTAGCATTTCTGTCGCCTTCAAAAATAATTACCCATATATTATACTAATATAATTTACCATATACTGTATATTATATTTTCTAATATATAATATATAATATTCATTATAAAAAAAATTTTTGTTTATTTTATTTTTACAGCTATTAGAAAACCGATCTAACTAAATATATTTGAGAAATAAATTAAATGCAATGTTGCAACTTTGCGAACACCGTTTTTCTGACTGCGGTGTACCTGCGGATAATTTGCCACTTCTTGGAACCTATGTAGACACAAAGGCAAGAAATGTAGCACTAATATGGCCTAGCGTTTATTATTGTGTAACACATATGCATCATTCCTACTAGAAAAGTCGATATTACGCAAGCTCTTTGCAAAGTAAATCACAAGGCCGCCGCAGCTACAGGATTACGTCAATTCGTATGACTCGGCAAAAACAAACTATGATATCAAAAGGTTTTCATATATAATAGCCTTTTTATTCCTTTCCCGCCTTAAGATACTTGTCTCCTTGCGTTCCATATTCTTTGTGCTTCAAGAATTTTATTAAATCTTTTCATAGTTCTCATCTAAGTTAGTAAATAAAAATGAGGTCGAAATTCAAGGACGAGCATCCCTTTGGTAAGTTTCATCTTTCATAATTTTAAGCTTATTCACCATACTTACTTTGCATTTTATTTCTAGAGAAGCGTAAGGCTGAGGCTGAAAGAATTAGACAGAAATACCCTGATAGAATTCCGGTAAGATAACTTACAACTGCAAAATAGCAGAATTAGTTTTTCCATCAATAGCTGGTCGATTTGTTAACAGGAGGTTGTTTTGTTTTGTTAACCTAACAAATATTAGGTTATCTGTGAAAAAGTCGAAAAATCTGACATTGCAACAATTGACAAAAAGAAATATCTTGTTCCAGCTGATCTCACAGTTGGGCAATTTGTTTATGTGATCCGTAAGCGAATTAAATTAAGCCCTGAAAAGGCAATCTTTATCTTCGTAGACGAAGTCCTACCTCCCACTGCTGCTCTTATGTCGAGTATTTATGATGAACGCAAGGATGAAGATGGCTTCCTATATATAACGTAAGTGGTTCATTCGTTAAAATACTGCGTTTATTTATTATATTTATTTTTGCATTAATGAAAAATTTCACTATAGATATTCTGGAGAAAATACCTTTGGAATGTGAATAATTTTACGTTTTTATAAAATGTTTAAATGTCACTTTGCTCATTATTCATATGGCGTTCTCATAACGCTCCTGATTAGACTATGAGGGAATACGCTATTCCCAAGAAAATGAGCATTGCAAGAAGGAATAATATTACTTTATTTTTCGATGTCTAACTTTTTTACTATATGTCTATTGCCTTTATTTTTAATAAATTTTGTACCTGCGCAAAATTGTTTCAAGTCATTGAATAAATAAAGTCATTTTGATCAGGTATTTTACTTGGTGGAAGGTACATATGTATTTTATTATTTATTAGTGTGAAATTATATTTTGAACTTTTAAATTATAATAGAGGATTTAAAAAAATATTATATATATATAATAAATAAAAAATTCTTTCAAATATTAATTAATATTATTTATAACTATATTTTTTAAAAATAATAATAATAAATTATAATTTGAAATAAGTACTGTTACACCAAAGACGATCCTAGTTTTATAACTTAGGCGTTCAACGCGATTTTTATCTTACAGTAAAGATTGTCGATCATGTCGAAAGCATCTCAGCCAGAGTTAAAACAGTAACGTTAACTAAATACATATTATTCAAGCATCACTGTTTGATTTAAGTAGTCGTTAACTCAATTTCATGTTTAAGGTATATGGAAAAGCGACACTTCATCCAACTGAATGGGGGTCGAAAGGTAACTGGTATCCTTCGAGGATATGATCCTTTCATGAACTTGGTCCTAGATGATGCGGTTGAAGAAGTTTCGACTACAGAAAAGTATAACATAGGGATGGTGGTGCGTTATTTATACTTTCTAAAAAAATTTTTTTAAACTATCTAACTAGTAATGGTTGCTTGTAGGTGATCCGTGGTAAATCTGTTGTTATTATGGAGGCACTTGAAAAAATTTAAGCGAAGGTACATTATATTAAACAAAGAAGACATACCAGAATTAATTTCAAGTATTCATGACAACAGGCTGATATCCGGATGGCAAATGATTGACTTGCTGCTACTTGGAAAATATCTTACATTCCTAATAATAAATGAACTGATAGGTTGGTTAATATATGGTTTAGAATGTTAGAAATTTATCCATTGAACAGATAGATAGTTTAAACCATTCTCTTGGGAATTAAATTTTTTTGAAAATTCGAAGTATTTTTTTTTGCTTGAACAGATTTTTATTTTTATAAAATATAAAGAAATGTGATGCAATAATATTATTATACATTATGCAAAAATTAAAATATCAATAAATATTTTATTTATATACAGTATGGTGCAAAAGTCTTTGGACTAATATTTTTTATTATAATTCAATAAATATTTATTTAATTTAAATAAAACTTCAATAAAATAATTTTGTGATTTTAATAATAATAATAATAAAGTTTTTTTTTTTTTAAATCGCAAACAGGCATTAAATGCAAGTCATTTATTAAACATTGGTTTTTCATCATTACATAATAAAGTTTTGTTATTAATTAATTAGTAATTTTATTATAAAATATTGATTTTAAAATTTTTTAAAAGAACCCTATACTAGGTTTGGAGCATTCACTAGGAAGTGCAGACCCATGTGAAGTCCTTCTGTCGCATTAGCTGCGTGAGTGAAAAGGTGTGTAGTGATAATTACTTATAGAGAATAGTTAGTAGTACCCATTGTTCCTGCACAAAAATTGGACTGATAGGTTAGGTGATTTAAACTAGCAGTAGGAATTCCCCCCCTAGATAGGTCCCCTAAGGATTCAAATGATTCTATTTAGAATTGAATTTAAACGATTCGATTCAATTCAATTCAATTCGATTCTTTTATTTAAAAAATTGAATTTGATTCTATTCGATTTGATTTTATTTGATTCTATTCGATTCAATCAATTTAATATACTATATATATTGTTACACTTGATTTTTGCCCAAGATCTTTACTACCCCCTTGTCCGATTTTCACTAGTATTGACCCTTGAAATGTTAGTTATTCTAGAATAGTCTTGTATTACAAATCTGTTACTGCACTTT